TCTATTACCATAGTTATGTCAATAGTGGGGCTTTCAGGTGTTTAGGAATTTTTTTGGTTAACATTCAATGCAAAAATACTAGATGGTGTATAACTCTAGAGTTGAATTTTAAGGGAGTCTCTAATATGTATACTATCTTTTTATCTGAAGTAATAAACTATGATCTTGAAAGTGAAAAAGAAAAGAAAAGTAATTTCAGGATATTTTATACTTCCTATGTATAGACACATTATTTTATTGAATGTAATTTACTGGTTACAAAAAACTTTCCTGCTCCCAAGATGGTGTCTGTTAACCTAGACATAAAATACAGTAATTACATGGAAACTATACCCTAAGTAGCTGCTCTTAAGTAGTAGTATTTTTATCTGTGTTCTGACCTACTGAAGTTTCTGAAATATATTTCAATTCTCAATTTTTCTAGTGCTAAATCATAACCATTTATGGTTGATTTTTATTCAATATTTTTGCATTTTGACATACCAATTTAATGGGTAATATATTCAAATCTGGTAAAAAGTGTTTTCATTCTCTCCCATTCTGCATGAACATCCCAGACTCTTATTAGGGAAGAGAGTCATCAGTTAGACTTCACCCCTATTTAACACAATCTCTCCTTTAAAAAATATATTGGGGCAGGGCTGGGGATTTAGCTCAGTGGCGCCATGCCTGCCTCAAAAGCGCAAGGTCCTGAGTTTGATCCCCAGTACTATAAAAAAAAAAAAAGAATTGTGTTTTGGGCTGGGGATTTAGCTCAGTGGTTCTGCCGCCTGCCTCACAAGTGTAAGGTCCTGAGTTCAATCTCCAGTACCGAAAAAAAAAAAACATTGGGCCAGGCATGGTGGAGTACGTACGTATGTAATTCCAGCACAGGGGAGGCTGAGGCATGTACATCACAGAGAGTTCAAGGCTGGCCTGGATTACATAGGGAGCTCAAGCCAGCCTGAACTACATAGTGAGACCCTGTCTCAAATGAATAGATTTTGAGTTGATACCTAATAAGTATGCATTACTTATGGAGCACAGGGCAATAGGCATATCCATCACCTCAAATATGTATCATTTCTTTGTGTTGTAAGCAGTTCTACATCTTCTCTACTAGCTTTTTGTTTTGAAATATACAGTTACTTATTGCCAACCATACTTTCCTTTTAATTTCAACATCAGCATTGTCATCTTCATCCTTTATCTTGCATCTCCTATAACCTCCCCAAAGGAAAAAGGTCTATTGTTTTCCCTCCTTCATTTGAATTGGCAGAGGGAACTTATGAGGTACACTGCATAGGGTGTAGAATTTTCCTAAGAAATCCTTTACTCTTGAACTTTGTATCTACCTGCAGGCACTACTGCAATGACTTTGTGTTTGTTTTAAACTCCTAGGAATAAAGTTTACCACACTTGGTTTTTAAAAAATGACAGAATTTAGTATAAGCAGCACACATCCAACTTTTTTTTTTTTTTTGGTACCGGGGATCGAACTCGGGTCCTTGTGCTTGCGCAGCAGGTGGTGAAACCACTGAGCTAAATCCCCGGCCCATCCAACTTTTAAAATATGCACATGCCAGCCAGAGATTTAGCTCAGTGGTTCTGCTGGCTGCCTTGGAAGTGCAAGGTCCCGAGTTTGATCCCTGGTAACAAAAAAAAAAAAACCAACCAAAAAAACCCAAACCAACAACAACAACAAAAAAGGCACATGCTATTTTTAAGAAGTAGGTAAGTCTGGGCTGGGGACTTAGCTCAGTGGGGCTGCATCTGCCTTGCAACCACAAGGTCCTGATTTCGATCCCTGGTGGTGGTGGTGGGGGGAAGAAATAGGTAAGTCTGGGCCTTGTTCTTCTCATTTTGTTTATGAGATGGAAGGAATTATTGGGTAGGGTGAACAAAATGAGACTGTAATCATTATAGAATCACACACCTTCGGAATTAGGAAAGCATAAGTTATGCTTTATTTCATTTTTAGTTTTGGGGTTTTTGGGCAAATGTATGTGTTATCATTTATCAAGGTGGCAAGACCTCAGAGTTATTATTTTTTTTTAATTACTTACTTAATCCATGTCTCAGTGGATGTGTTACAGTTTGAACCAAAGGGCATTGTTGCTGGGCTACATCCCAAGCTTTTTACCAAACTATTTCATTTGAGGCAAGGTCTGCCTAAGTTGCTATGTTGCCCAGGTTGAGTTCGAATTAGAAATCTTCCTTACTTATCCTCCAGCAGCGCTAGGTTTTCAGTTGTTTGCCACCAGTTTTCAGTTGTTTGCCCAGATGAAATTCAAACCTAAAAATTGCCCAGAAATAGTCTTAAAAGACAACAGCAAATGAAGAAATAAGCACTTAAAAAAATTTGGTCAGAATGGCAAGAGCCTGTGACATTCAAAAATAGACAGATTCTACCTGCTCCTTCTGCCTTCTCTTGAAATTAGTCTCATTCAGTTGTGTTTTGAAAATATGATGACAGCCATGCCAGGGATTTATCTCAGTGGTTCCGCCTCCTGCCTCGCAAGCGCAAGGACCTGAGTTTAATCCTCGGTAGGAAAAAGAAAAATGATGACAGCCAGTGGTGGTTGTGCTAGTTTATAATCTGTGCCATTCTAGAAGCTGAGGCAGGAGGACTTTACATTGAAGGCCACCGAGGGAGTCACTGTGAGTCCCCAATCTCAAAATAAAAATCAAAACTGTGCTTAAATCCCCAGTACAAAGAACAAAGCTGACTCTGAGGTGTCTCAGGAAGAGACAGGAATTTCCAGCTTGCTAGCCAGAAAGCCCCACCTCCTTAGACTGAGAAGCACCCAACAAGGGACACATTTGAATTTTACTGGATTTCAAGTGAATGCCATTCATTATTCATGGCTATTTCCAGCTGGGGCTGGTCCCTCAGGAAAGGGTAGGGTTAAACTGGAGGGGTGTAAATTTGCACCTGGACCAAAATATGCTTAAAATTTAAAATTTTGTTATGTCCTCCCTTTGGCATGAAATTTTATTAGGAAAATACATTGTAGTGAAAGTGTAATGAAGGCTAGGGTTGGTTTTCTTTCAGGCCACTGTCCCGTCTTTGCTAGCACTTCTGTCATCCACTTTGCTCTCCTGACCCTCCGTACATCAAGGAAGACAGGGTCTTGCTTGCTTAATTATCAGCTTGATTGTCTGCTTATCGTGCAGAGTTGCAGCTGCCTGCTTGGTTTCCCTCTGATTTTAAAGTCCTGCCCTTCCCCCTCTTGCCTGAGAGATATGGTGATGGGAAGCTAATGAAATATTAGGGATTATTTAATCACATCAGTCTCTATAGTGATATGCAAACCTATATTATTGAAATAATAATCAACATTTTCTTTTTTACTTCCTCTATTTTGTGTTTCGTTTGTAGTGTATTAGGATTTAACCCAGAGCCCCGTACAGGCTAGCAAGTACTCTACCAGGAAGATCCATATCCAGAATTTTTATATTTCTTAAGTTCCTAGACAGGCTGTCACTAATTTGTCCAAAGATGCCTGAAATCCTCCCACCTCAGACCTTTTGAATAGCTGGGATTACATGTGTACTCAGCCACGCCAGGTTTAGTTGCTCCATCATAAAGCTGGAAAATGTTACTCCTTCCTTCTTGCTCAACATTGTGAGAAGTCTCCCAAACAAAAACGATCCTTGTAAATGCAACACAGAGTTGGGGATTTTATGTGTAAAACAGAGATCTGGGTTGAGGAAATAGCTCAGTGATAAAACATTTCCTTAGCATGCCAGAGGCACAGGGTTCCAGCCTTCCTGCCAAACACACCTAACACATTCTCAAAATCGTCAAACCACCTTTGTATAAAATCAAAACTTTCACTATTTGAGGATAACAAACACAGTTTCCTGAAAATGATAGGAAAAACCAAAGTACTTTTCCTACTCTCAGAGTTAACACAATTCTAAAACACAATACTGGGCTGGGCATTTAGCTCTGGTTCTCTCACCTGCCTTGGAAGTGCAAGGTCCGGAGTTTGCTCCCTGTTACCATAAATCAACCAATCAATCAATCAATCAAACAAACAAAAAATCCCACAACACTAACCCTCTCCATCACCAAAATGTGTGGGAGTTTCTCTCCACCAGTATTGAATTCTCCAGCAGGACCCCAGCGAGGTGTCATGTAATTCCATTGGATGGAGACACTACCTGTGCTTGCCTAGAAGCATAAGACTCTGGGTTTGATGTCAAATACTGACAAGAAAAATTGTGACCCTATCTACCAAAGGATAGCACCAGATCCCACAGGTTGAGCTCAGCCCCACAGGACTGTGCTCCATATCACATGTCCATCTCACCTGCCAGTCTAGACCAGTATTGTTTCTGTTTTGCAGTACATTGGATTGAACTCAGAACATTTGCATTGAGGTACATTTCAATCCCACGTTTAAAAACATTCTTTTTTGAAAAAATATGAGCAAAGGAAAAAATGGAAACAAAGTCTTTGTAAATAGGGAAGGGTGGAAGGGGTGAAGGGAGGGCAGGGGAATGGGAAAAAATAAGAACCAAGATACATCATGTAAAGGTACAAGATCCCAGTGATGAATGTAACTGTATTGTATACCTAAAATATATCAATAAACTTAATGAAAAAATTATATATATAAAAAACCAAAACAAAACATTCTTTTTAAAAATTTTGAGCAGGGTCTCCTAAATCAGTGAGTTGCCCAGGTTGGGATAGATTTGGAGATCCTCCTGCTTCAGACAGGCACTACCACGCTATGATCTGGCAAAGTTTTAAAAAAAATATTCAAAACAGGAAAGTCTAAGGTCAAAAGAGCAGAAATGGGAAGCTTCTAAAAATAGTTATGTAGTTCCTGTTCGACCAGAGGAAAAGAGTTCTGGAAATTGGTTTTAAACCAGGAATGCATTTAACCCTATAGGAAAGGACAATTGAAAATGTCCTCCAGGCTTGAGGGTGGAGCTCAATTCGAAAGCACCGGGTTAGTGTGCCCGAGGCCAAAGAAAAAGTCCAATCAGCATCTGCTTTGGAAGGCCCGAACACACTGCGCACGCGCATTGGTCTTCCCTGACCCTCTGGAGCCTGTTGGGGCTCTACTGGTTTTGTTGCGGTTTGGTTTGTTGCGCTGTCACCTCAGGTCTTGAGGGTTCCTCAGGAAGACTCTAGGAAACTCCAGCAGCAGGAAGATGGCAGTGGTGAGTGCGGGGCTGGGAGACGAAGAAAGCCGGGATGTGTGCGCCGCCGAGCGGCAATACCGATTCGGCCTCCGCGTGCGTTCCGTATTCCGCGGTCGGGGTCCCTCTCGGTCCCGGTGCCCTCCGGCCGCGCGCGGCGCTGAGCCGGCACCGGACCGAGTCCCGTCGGTCCCTGCGCGGCGACGCGGGCCTGTCGGGAGCCCTCTCTGGGTAGCTCCGCCGCAGCGCGCGTGTCCCCAGCCTGTGCGGCGGGGGGAGGTGGCGGGGACCCGGCTCGCCTGGGTTCCGCGTGTGAGGACCTGCAGGGGTCAGGAACGCGAGCTCCCGGCGGAGGCGCGGGCGGAGCGGGCTCTGAGGCCCTGGGACGAGCGCGGTCCTAGCGCTGCCCGGGGCCCTGTGCTCCCCAGGGCGGGTCCCTCCGAGGCCAGTTCTGCTTCGCTGGGGTTCGCTTCCGCGTGGAGCGGGGGAGGCCGCGTCCGAACTCGGGGGCGTCTGGGGGTTTCCATCAGATTCTATTACTAAACGTGCGCAACCTTCAATTTTCCTTGGTGCAATACTTGGCAGTTGGGTTGTCTTGTGCGATTTGAGGCAATTTCCAGTTCTTTGGGAGACAATATGAGTGCACTGATAGATGCAGTGCCAGAAACTATAGAGATTCTCAAACGAATTTCGTTCTTTCTTAAAAAGAGAACCTGAAAATGTCGTAACACAGGGGGTTTAAGCATTTAAAGTCTCAGGTACACGTACCATTTTTTCTTTTTAAATCTAAAGATTAAATCCCAATTTCATGCTAAGAAAACAGTGAATCAACAAAGTACATCCAAACCCCAAAATTTCTTTACTTTACTTTCGTTTTGTTTTGTTTTGCGCTGCTTTGCTTTGGTTTGCTGTGTTTTTTTGAGGCAGAGCCTTGCTATGTAACCCAAGTTGGCCTTGAACTCACAAAGATTCTCCTGCTCCAGCCTCCAGTGTGCTGGGATTAGAAAATGCACCACCACCAACGCTTGCCTCTTGTCACTCTTTTCTCTGAGACTTCATCTCTCCAAATTGCCCCTGCACCCTGGTCTCAAGTAGTCTTTCCTCGTCAACCTCCAAATTTCTGGGCAATGGACACCTTCCATGTCCTTGGTTTTAATTAGCTCGAGTATGCATTTGTCAACCCTTTTCACAAAAGCAGTTTTTAACTATTTTGCCTGTCTAAATGGATCGCGGGGGTTTAATTTCTTCTCTAATGTTTTAAAATTTCTTGTTTGCCCTGGTAAAGACGCTGCTGTTTGTTTTCTTTTTTCTTTTTCTTTTTTTTTCCTTCCTAACTTAGATCTTGATTTTTGGCGTACATTTCTGCCCTTTGGCAGTGTATGTGGTCAGTACCATAAGTTTTCCCACAGTCACTGCTTTTGCCTCTTTTCAGGAATTATCAGGCCTATTTTCTTTTACTTGTAGGTCTTGGATATTTTGTCCACTGTTCATTTTGGTTAAAGCTTTGGAAAGTTATGTTGATATTGCTTTAAGATAGCAAGATAGGGGGGTCTGCCTAGAGCCTCATGCAGTTGAAGGCAGGGTTTGTAGAAAACGATAGGATTATCTGGGTGCTACAGTGGCTTGGTGTTAGGTGGTGGGGGTGAAGATAGAGGTTATGGGTGTGTGTGTGGGGTGACCTGGTAAGGTGTATCTGTCTTCCTGGTTCCCCCCTTCACTTTCTGCTTCCTGACCACCATGAACTTAAGGTCTTTCATGTGAGTATTTCATATTATTTGTTTGGGTTGCAAGTGAGATATTGTTTGAAGTACCTGCAGGTGTTAGGAGAATTTCTTCTGCTGGCCTTTCTTTAATCCCCCTTGTAAATTCTGAGCTTTCATAAAGGTATTTAAAATCTGAGTCATGTACAAAGAAATGGCATAATATTCTTTCGTTGTACCTCTCTCATGGTTAATAAAATGCAATTCTAATGTCATAGAATTTGAGAAAATGTGCCAGGTGAGGTTGCAACAACCTGTAATTCCAGCTACTCATAATGTTTAAAGAGGAAGATTCCTAGTTTATGTCCCTCCAGTGTAATATAAAAGATATTGCTTAAAAATAAAAATTGTAAATGAAATAGTCATGTTACTCAGTGATAAGACTACTTGCCTAGCATGTAGGAGCCTGTGGCATTGATATCTTGTACAGTCAGTCAATTAATATGTGAACATATGCAGGGGGTTGAATCCTAGGTGTCCACATGCCCAGGTCGGAGGTCTATCATTGAGGTATACCAGAGGCCCCCAAAAAGTGTTTGCATTAACTGGGGTCTATTTGAGTACTTTGCTTCAGTGGTTCTAAGTATTTAACCTAAGCCTGTGCACTTGGTAAGCACTCTTGATACTTAACTATATTTACAAGCATTTTTATTTTCGGACAGTTTCTTATAAAGCATGGGCTGCCTAAAGCTTGCAATCCTGTTGTCCAACCCTTTCATATGGGTGCCTTTTTTTTTTTTTTCTTTTGGTACTGGGGATCGAACTCAGGTCCTTGCCGCTTGCACAGCAGGCGGCGAAACCACTGAGCTATATCCTCGGCCCATGGGTGCCATTTTTGATGTGGCCATTTATTCCAATTTCTGAATGCTTCTAACGTGGTGCTTGACCTCTGAAAAATCCAGTTCTTATTGCATAGTGAATTTCCTTACACCTTCTGGACTCTCATTTTGGTTAATGGGAAAAGTTTGACAGGTATATTTATTATTACTGAACCTAGCCCTGGTTCACTTTTTTATGAAATATGATGAAAGTATAGGGAATAATATGAAAATGACAAGTTCTTTCATATTGAATTGGGTTCATTCAGTTTTGTCTCCTTGAATGATATTGTTGTCATCACTTCAAGGTGATTTGAGACTGTCATTAGAGCACAATCATAAAAAGGTTGAGGTAAAATTGTAGAAGATGTCTTTATCTGTTGTGGGCCTGAAGAATTTCATGAGACATCAAGATCTTGTGTTCTGGCTACTGTAATGCAGTAACTGTGTGTAGACCAGAATTGTGTGGGAACATCTTAGGTATTGAGCATAGATTCCCCCATGCTATCAGTCTTACCATCTTCTTGTGCCAATTTGTGGATTGTCATAGCACTCAGTGGACTTTGAGGATGTGGCTGTGAAGTTCACCTTTGAAGAGTGGGCCCTGCTGGACCATTCACAGAAGAGACTCTACAGAGTTGTGATGAGGGAAACTATCAGGAACCTGGCAGCTGTGGGTAAGGATGATATTATTCCTTCATTTAGTGAATTACAGAACAAATATTCCTTGCTGATCTACTGTGTCATATAACATCAATGTTGGGAAATTTGTAACTTCAGGGGAAAAATTAGTTTAGGTCAAAGGTAAGGGTGCATCTAGAATTATCATTTTCTGTATTTTCTTTTAAAAATTTTTTCTGTATTTTCTAATTCATGATTATTTGTGGGTGTTAATTTCAGAGACAAAAGAGAAAGACCAGAGCATTGAAGATGAGGACAAAAAGCAAGAGAGAAATCCCAGGTGAGCTGCACACAACAGTATGTAGTGAGTACCAAGAGAATTTATGTGTGTGATAAATTTCAGGAACAAGCAAGCAAAACAGTAAGTCCAGACCTAATGGCTTACCTGAAATTGTATTAAGTGATTATATAAAAATGTCATAGTTGTTCAAAACAATATTGTGAATACTCATATAGACATGCTTTTTTATGTTTTTGAATTTTTTTGGTTTTTTTTGTTGTTGTTCATCACTGAGCTATATTGCCTCACCCCACCCTGGTCCGTTTTTTGGAGGCAGTCTTCCTATGTAGGCCAGCCTGATTTGAATGTGCCATATAAGCTAGGCATTCTTGGAATGTGTCCTCTCCTGGATTAGCTTCATGACTGCTGGGATTAGACATGGGTGCAGTATTACTAATTTGATAAGGCTGACCCAGAACTTGATATCCTCCTGACTCAAGCTCCTGAGTACTTGGAGTTGCAGCAATGGGCTGCTCTGCCTGGCATTATTATTTTGGTATTAGTGATGGTTAAGTGCTTTTTGGAGGCTTTCATTCATTCCCTTTGAGACAGTTCAGACATAGAAGAAAGCCTGTATGTTCCCTGAAAATGAATGTAATTTTAAATCCCACTTAAGATATGCAATTGTATTTTTCAACCACTGAAAATGTGCTTATTCTTTACAGAAATCAAATAGCTGAGAAACTTTGTGAGAGTAAAAAAGTTCATCATTTTTCAGAAAAAGTCCTCCAAGATTCATATCTCAGTCCTACTGAGGAAAGTCATACTAGTGCAATACCATGTAAAGATCCATGTTGTAGAAAAGTGCTCATGCATCCGACATCTCTTAATCCGCAACTTAGATCTCAGACTCAGCATAGGCCCTTTGAGAATCACAAATTTGGAGAGAAGCCATATAAACATGAGGAATGTAGTAAAGAGTTCACTGATCACCAGTGGCTTCAGAACCGTGAGAGATCGTATATTGGAGACACAAAGTATGGATATAAACAAAATAGCAAAGGTTTCAGAGTTCTCAATTTCTTTCAAACACAAGGAAGAACTCATAGTACAGAGAAATCCTGTGAGTGTAAAGAATGTGGGAAAATGTTCTTTTCTCGTGAAAGCTTTCAGAGACATATGAATGTGCACACTGGAGAGAAACCTTATAAATGTAAAGAATGTGGAAAAGCCTTCATTTATCAAATAACATGGAAGGTACACATGAAAAGACACAGTGGAGGACAACTGTACCAGGGCAAACAATGGGGAACAACTTCCTCCTACTCAGTGTTAAAGAAAAACTCAATGAGTAACACGGATGAAAGACTTTTTCAAAATAATCAGTGTGGTAAATCTTTTGGTATTTCCACATATTTGCAATATAATGAAATTGTTCACACTGCAGAAAAGCCTTATAAATGTACAGTATGCAATAAAGAGTTTAAAGACTCTAGAAGTTTATATTTACATGAAAGAATTCATGGCGCAGAGAAATTTCACCAGTGCTCAGTATGTGAGAAGTGCTTTGTCTGTTTTCAGAAGCTTCAATTGCACATGAGAGTGCACACTGGAGATCAACATTATAAATGTAAACATTGTGCGAAGGTGTTTATGAATTCATATGTGTGTGAACAGCACAAAAAAACCCATATTATTGAGAAACCCTGTAAATGTAAACTATGTCTTAGGCCCTGTAGTTTTTCCAGCTCCTCCCAAAGGCATGAAGATACTCAGACTGGAAAGAATCCCTGTGAATGTGAACAGTGTAGAAAGGCCTTCACTTCTTCCAGTTCCCTCAAAATGCATATAAGAACTCACATTGTAGGAAAACCCTATGTTCGTGAGCAGTGCAGTAAGAACTTTGCTTTTTGCAGTGCCCTCCGTGTGCATGAAAGAACTCACACAAGACAGAAACACTACCAATGTAAAGAATGTGGCAAATTCTTCACTTCTTCTAGTGTCCTCAGAAGGCATGAAAGAATTCACACTGGAGAGAAGCCCTATAAATGTAAACAGTGTGGTAATGCCTTCATTTTTTCCAGTGCCCTCAGAACTCATGAAAGCACTCACACTGGAGAGAAACCTTATAAATGTAAACAATGTTGTAAGGCCTTCACTACTTACGCATACTGCCGATTGCATGTAAGAACTCACACTGGGGAGAAACCTTATGAGTGTAAACAATGTGGAAAGGCATTCACTTTTTCTGGTGGCCTCCGTACGCATGAAAGAATTCACACAGGTCATAAACCATACCAATGTAAAGAATGTGGAAAGGCCTTCAATTATTCCAGTTCCCTAAAAGTACACCAAAGAATTCACAGTGGAGAGAAACCATATGAATGTGGTCAATGTGGGAAGGCTTTTGTTTCTTCTTCTTCTCTCCGTACACATAAAATAATTCACACCGGAGAGAAACCTTATGAATGTAAACAGTGTGGGAAAGCATTCTCTTTTTTTCATAGCTTACAAGTACATCAAAGAATTCACACTGGAGAGAGACCCTACAAATGTAATCAATGTGGAAAGGCTTTTAGTTCTTCGAGTCAGTTCAGAAGGCACGAAAGAACTCACACTGAATCGAAACCATACAAGTGTAAACATTGTAATCAGACATTTGCTAGTTCTGGTCTCTGTGAAAGGCATGAAAGAACTCATACTGGGCTGAAACCGTATGAATGTAAACAATGTGGTAAAGCCTTTCAGTCTTCCAGTAACCTCCAAAGGCATGTTAGAACTCACAGTGGAGAGAGGCCGTATGAATGTAAACGATGTGGAAAGGCATTCGTTTTTTCCCATGGCCTCAGAATACATGAAAGAAGTCACACGGGAGAAAAACCCTATGAATGTAAACAATGTGGTAAGGCCTTCACTTCTTCCAGTTACCTACCAGTCCATGAAAGAATTCACACTGGAGAGAAATCCTACAAATGTACACAATGTGGAAAGGCCTTTACTTCTGCCAGTATTTTGAGAAGGCACGAAAGAAGTCACACTGGAGAGAAACCTTATGCATGTAAACAATGTTGTAAGAGCTTTACTTCTTCCAGTTACCTCCGATTGCATGTAAAAACTCACACTGAAGAGAAGCCCTATAAATGTGAACAATGTTGAAAGGTGTTCGCTTTTTGTAGTGGCCTCGGTGTGCATGAAGTAATTCACGTAGGACAGGAACAGTACAAATGTAAGCATTTACTCGTTCCTATACCCTCAGAATGCATGAAAGAATTCACACTGAAGATACCCTATAAATGTAAACAATGCAGTAATGCCTTCATTTCTTCCACTGCCCTCAACTCATGAAAGCACTCAGACTGGAGAGAAACTGTAAATGTAAAGAGTGTTGCAAGGCCTTCACTACTTACGCATACTGAGAAACATGTAAGAAGTCACACTGGGGAGAAACCTTATGAGTATGAACTGTGGAAAGGCATTTACTTTTTCTAGTGGCCTCCATGCACATGAAAGAATTCACACAGGTCAAACCATACCAATGTAAAGAATGATGTGGAAAGGCCTTCAGTTATTCCAGTTACCTCAAAACACATGGAAGAATTCACGGTGGAGAGAAACCGTATCAATGTGGTCAATGTGGGAAGGCTTTTACTTCCTCTAGTCTCTGTACTCATGAAAGAATTCACATTGGAGAGAAACCCTACAGATGTAAACAACGTGGAAAGGGCTTTACTTTTTGCAGTGTTATCAGAAGGCACAAAAGAATTCACACCGGGGAGAAACCCTATAAATGTAAACCGTGTGATAAGCCTTTCACAACTTAACTCGCCTTCCTGTACATCGAAGAATTCACACTAGAGAGAAACCCTATGAATGTATAAAATGTGGCAAAGCCTTTGCTTATTCCAGTGACCTCCACAGCCATGAAAGATCTCACCCTAGAGAGACACCCTACGAATGTAACTGATGTGGTAAGGCCTTTGTTAATTCTTGTTCCCTCAACCTGCACAAAAAGTCATTCTCTAAAAAAAAGCCTATGAGGACCAGGGATTTAGCTCGGTGGTTCCACTGCCTGCCTCATAAGTACAAGGTCCCGAGTTTGATCCCTGGTACCAAAAACCCCTCAAAAAACAAAGAAAACCTATGAATCAGTGTGAGAAGGCATTTGTACATCCCTGTGCACTCTGAACGAAATAACTCAGAGGAAAAAAAAAAATCTCAGGGGAATAAGGTAGTTAGAACTGGGCTTGCCTGCAGTGCCCTCATAGAGCATGAGAAAACTCAGGGTAGAAGAAATGTTAGTATTAACCACATGAAATCTTTTTATGACTGTGATCTTTAGTGGCTTAAAAATTCACATTGACATGAAATCCTATGAAGGTAGACTATATGGAAGGGCCATAAGTTGTTTTAGTCAGATTTGAGTACAGGGGCCTATCCACTAGAGAAGCCCTTTAGACAAACTGATAAGGCTTGAAGAATTAAATAACATTTCACCACAAGAAAATGCAAAGGATACAGAAGCAGTGTGCAGTTAAAAAATGTTGTAAATGTGACCACTTCTGCTCTGTTCTGTTCTGAATGAAACCCTGTGGCTAGTATGTAATATGAATGAATCTGTCACATCAACCACCCTTTGGAGAAAAAAAGAGTTTTATCTGATAGGAACTTTATAAATTTTGTTGACATTTACTTGAGCAATCTTGGATTTCTTTTCTTTTCTTTTGTACCAGGGATCAAATTCAGGACCTTGTGCTTGCAAGGCAGGCATGGTACCACTGAGCTAAATCCCCAGCCTGATTTTGGTTATTTTCAAACTGAGCCCTTGTCATCAAGAGCAATTTCTTTGTCTCTGTCTCTCACAGTGGAGTTGAAACCAAGGACTTTATTGTAAGATACATCTTCAGGCATTATTTTTTATTTTGAGGCTGGTTACGGTTGCATGCCTCTGGGTTTAGAGTTGTGAAGACCCTGCCTGCGACTCCTGGAGTGCTACCATTACAAGTGAGTGCTGCCATGGGTGATTGTAATTTTTTTAGTCTAAGGAATATGAGAAAGACTATTGCCTTTCTCTGTAGAAAAGGTCATGGTATCAACCTTTGCAAACCACTGCCTTTGCAGTGTGTGATAGTTTTCAATTTTCACAAATACTTTTTAGTTCTACAAAAATTGGCACTAAGCAAATTAATGTACTATGGAAGATGAATTGAAGTCTTTATACTTGTAACACTTCAGAACATTATCCATGTGATCTATGATGCATGATCTCTATCTGTGACTTATTCTCCCATGTTTTAGAAGTGAAAGTATGCCAAAAAAGTGAAAGGTCAGCCCAGTTCTGCATACTTGTACTCCATGTGGCTTGAAGCTGATGGAGGAGGATAGGAAGTTCAAGTCTTATCTGTGCAACTTGGTGAGACCCTGTCTCAAAAAAATAGATCTCAGGATGTAGCTCAGAGTAAATCCCTGTTTTTAATGCCTAGTATGAGCAAAAATGTCAAATGAAGGTCATTGAGACTGTAAACAATTAAACATGGTAGTATACCTTTGGCACCAATTTCCTAATTGTATCATCATCTATAGATTCATTGGAGACATTTAATTTTTTTTTTTTTTTTTGGTACCAGAGATTGAACTTGGGTCCTTGCGCTTGCGCAGCAGGCAGCGAAACCACTGAGCTAAATCCCCGGCCCTTAAAAATTTTTTAATGTTTCCAATGAAAACTTTAACAAATTAACCTTAAAAATAAACATTTTTGTGCTCTAGCCATTACCTTAGTGCTTGGTAAACATTTGGCTTCTTTTTCTTTGAGTCCTCCAAAGTCTTGAGATGTCAAAGGATGGGACCCTCCAGTACTGCAGGGTGGGCTTCTCCACGAGCCTGATCTGTCCCATTTTCTGGTGGCTATTCCACTGATACAGATTTAGTCTTCGTAAAGTAAAGGAGAAAAAAACCTTCATAGCAGCAAGTCTGTAGGTGACACATTTAAAGTGTGAAATACCTATAGGCACATATGATGTAGCACTGCTGTCTTTTTTTTTTTTTTTTCTAACTAAATGCCCAAGCCATTGTAGTGGCCAGTGTTAGCTCAGTGGAAGCAGGAAGGCCCCACTATTTTTTATCTAGTCTCTGAAACATGTAATTACTGAAAGTTAGGTGTTATGGTTTGTTTTTAGATGTTCCCCCAAAGCCTCATGCAGATGAGGTGGGACTTTTTTTTTCAGAGGTAGTTGAATCTAGAATGTGTGATGTTGTGGTTAACAGCGTGTGATTATTAAACCAATATAGTTGAGTTTTTTAGCACCATCCTTATCCTGTGAATCTGGATGAGAAAAGGGGCAGGAAGATGCTGTTAAATGCTCTTCTTACCTTTGCTACCTTGTGCACACCATGGTGTTTCTCCTCTGCGTTGCCTGTTTGCCATCCCTGCCTTGGAGACAGCTGATTATGGACTGAATCCTCTCTGAACAACTGTGAGTTAAATAAATGTCTTCTCTTTCAACTTTGGGTGTTGGGTATTTTGTCTCAGCAATGAAAAAAGTAACTAACACCTTAGGTTTCCTGTAGCCCTCCCCTTATGGGGCCAACCTATGGGATTGGTCCCAGATAATCAGTGGCCAAAGCCTCCAAGGCTGGCCACTCACAGTATTCAGACATACTCTTACTGCTTTCCTGGCCAAGAAACCAGTTAATATAATGTTCAAGATTGGACAGCAAGCCGCTGTTCTGCCAAAATGCTGTTCCCAGCAATCCTAAATGCAGGGTCAGTAAAGAAAGAAGCTGAGTTTAAAATAAATGAAGCTGACTTCTTTGAAAATGGGGAAAGGGAAGAAGATCATGCACAAGTACTTTGGCCATGTGGAGAGTTTTCAAAAGTGAATACCCCAGGACTTCTGTCCTTAAGCATCAGTCTGTGTTTGTGGGCTGAGTTTCAGTCAAAGAAATGCAGCCTGGGGGCAGGGATTTAGCTCAGTGGTTCCACTGCCTGCCTCGCAAGGTCAAGGACTGGAGTTTGATCCCTGGTACAGAAAAAAAAATGCAGCCTTGAGTATACTGAATTAATGCAGCATGGTATCAAGAAAGGCACTTGCAGAACTTACCTTTCATCCAGTGATGTATACTAAATTTGCATGATTTTTTTCTTATTTGGGTATATTTTTCTGCATGTGTTTTGGTACATAGGTTTATACCACTGGGCTATTATCTTACCTCAAGAAATGATAACTTGAAAAATGTGTTAGTCCTCAAATTTGTAACGCTAGAGTGTTAATCTACAAGGATATTGGAGGTCTGACTTTAGAGAATTTCCAGATGTCTACATGTAGTTTCCTTGATTGTAGGGCTTCCTGAAGGCCCTCGATATTTTGTGCCCCTTCGATGTACCTTGCCCTGTGCAGTGATTCTATGTGGCTGTTTGTCTATATCTTGTCCTGCATAATATGAGTCTCCATAAATTAGTTTTCATTTATCTCTATACTACCATGCAAAATTACCCCAGAATTGATTCTGAGAACTTAACTTTGAGCAGCCCAGAACTACAACTGCATCTGAAGTGAAGTTAGTCTTCTGAGACTGACTGCTTAACCTTTCACTTTTGATGATGTCTCCCAGTATGATCCCTATACTGAGTAAGTTCAAGGACATCTTAATGACTTTTGCACAATTGCTTACTTGGTGTGTGAAGAGCGATATACATATGTTCAAACAATTATACTATATAGATTTTGCATGCACATGCATAATAGGTATTTGTTCTCTCTATCCTGTGTTTGTAGTTTGGATGATGATAATGTTGAAATGTATGAATTACTCATTTGATATCCAAAGTCATGTCAATATAAAAAAGTTCCAATGCAGTTTTCATTAAAAAGATATTATTGTAAAATTCATATGGATTCTCCTTGTATTCTTAATATTTCGGAATCGCAGAAAGAAATGCATGGAGACACAGAGTTTGGGTAAAATAATAAAAGGCTTTACTTGCAAGCAGGTGGGACCACCAGAAAACAGGTCTGGTCAGTCCCGCCCCCCCCACATTCTTTGTCCATCACCTTTTATACTTTCGTTAGTCATTATCTCATCCCTAGTGGTCTTTGTTAAGTAAATAAAGTTCCAATTCCTGTTTAATGGTTAGACACAGGTGGTTTCTGTCACTGATTACAGTCTTAAACACATTACAGTTAAGGCACATATATATCACAAGTTTGTTCAAGGATTCCCACTTTGCTCTTCAGAGCTAAGATGTTATCTGTAGTGGAGCTACAGATCAAAGGAGCTATATAACCTTCACTTTAAATAAAAGCAACGGGCTAAGTCAAGCTTTTAAAGGGATACATTACCTATTTTGCTTCCACAACCACTTTAATAGCTAATCTACTAAATTTACTTTAAAACTTTCCCCTATCATTAACATTGTTAAGTGTTCACACCTCATTCAAATCATAACATAATGCAATAATCATGAAGATGTTGCCTAAGTTCCTTTATATAATGACGGGTATGTAGCTCAGTGCTTATTTCCTTACCATTGAAAACACCCTAGATCTGATTACCAGAACCAACATCAACAAAATTAAACTAACATAGCACAGTAGTTTGCTCTGAAATCGATTTGCATATTTGACCAAATGATGTTCAGCTAGGCTTGCCTAGGTGCACAAGGGAGACAGCCCACAATCTCATTTGGAAAGATGTTTAGAAAACTGTGCCAGTCTGAAAAGTGTGGTTCGCCTATAGTTTATGCTGTCCAAAAAATTAGCTCAAATTAAGTCCTAATACATAACACTAAAGAAATTCATGAGGAATTCACAAGGGGAAAGTGTCAAGGTGTTACATTTTAATTTTTTGCTGATGTTCACAATCCACCTGATGCCAGTGATGAGATCTATTTCCGTGATGTCATGACATGTACAAAAGAGGCAGTCACCAGATTGCACTGAATGCAGCTTATTAAGTGACCAAGTCATGGGTCTTTTAAAATCTGTATCTTTTTTGTGTGTTTTGTTTTGGTACCAGGGATGGAACTCAGGACCTTGCACTTGTGAGGCAGGCAGCAGCACCACTGAGCTAAATCCCCAGCTCTAAAATCTGTATCTTGAAAGAAACTTTGACCATAGTAAAAATGCAGTGCATTAAGATTGGATTGTGGAAAATGTGCATTCAACCCTGCCTCAATTCTTCATTTTGTCTGGGTCACTTCTGTCTTTTACATATCTCTAATGGGAGTTAGTCATAGTATTTTGTAGAACTTTTGTCAGATAAAATATACCACTGGCAAGTTTATATTTTTGAATTCTCTTATGTTGGAATATAAACTCTTCAGATCTCCATTGTTCATCTCAGTGGTCACTCAGGCATTCTTCTCATAGCCAGGAAAAATGCCTTATTTTAGTTATCCTTAAAAAGTAAAAAAAAATGAAGTTAGCCTTAATGTTCCATTACATATTATATATATTATTTTTTGGTACCAAGGATTGAACTTGGGACCTTGCGCTTACGAGGCAGACAGTGGAACCACTGAGCTAAATCCCCGGCCTGACATAATTTATTCTTTTTTTTGGTACTGGGGATCGAACTCTGGACCTTGCGCTTTCGAGGCAGGCTCTGGAACCACTGAGCTAAATCCTCGGCCCTGACATCATTTATTCTTAAAGTCCACTAAAATCTTGTTCTTTCTTGAAATAAATGGTGCATTACTCATCATTTCTTTGTACTTTCATGTTCTTCTGGAATATGTCCAGTGGAAGCAGTGTTGGGGACCAGGAGTAGGACGCAGTGGCTGTAAATTGTATGCCCTGTGGATTTCAGCATCACTGAATAAAGGAGGAGACACTTGGAGATACTCAGAGAACATCAACTAAAAGCACAGGTGTGCTGGGGATTTAGCTCAGTGGTGCCACTGCCTGCCTTGCAAGCGCAAGGTGCAGAGTTCCATCTCTGGTACCAACACACACACACACACACACACACACACACACACACACACAGAAACACAGGTGACTGGAAGAAAGGGAGAGACATTCTGGTGCCAAAATCAATCCGAAATAACGTGTAGAGCAAACAAAACTTAGGCATAGGAGTGTATAAAAAGGTGGAGCAATCCACTGGGCTGCCTGTAAGACCTCTGCATGTGCAGAGCACAGGAACCTCCATTTTGGGAAGTTCCCCAAAAGCTTATGGAACCCCAGTAGCATGGCAGAATCAAGGCACACAGGATACACTTGGGGTACATGGTCCCTTGCCTCTTTTTCCTTCCTCAAAAAAGTTGTTGTAGCCCACCTGCACATTTCATCATCACACGTAGCAGTGAATGACCAGGA